AGTCCGTTTCTGGATTGCGAAGGTGAGTTATAACGCCTTATAACTTGTGTGTGTCCGATATATTTAAATTAAAAAACTACGTTTTATAATCGGAATATGGGTTTCGGATTTTGAATCCTTCCTATAGGTACATGTGATTGCTATGTTATTGTTATTATTACTGTTATCAGTACACACAATATAATTGTTGTAGATATTAAACTTTTAAGTATAATCATATTTGTAAGTTTACATTATTTTATATTAAACAAGAATATACTCGATCATAATCATTCATGAGCCAAAATTAGTCAGGTTTTCTATGAAATAGACATTTTCGACGTTTCCAATAATTGATAAATCCATCCGTCAAAATGTCAACATTGACCTGCATAACTTAGTGATATTAATTCTGAGAGCGCAGATGATATTGTCCGATTTGTATAATTTATATTCTATAAAATTGTAGCTCTCTCTCCCTTACAATCATGCTGGTGAGCTCTACCTTCCTTAGATTCCTTTGAATTTTTTATACAATCGAAAGACAATATAATTTTTAGTTGCTTACGAAATAATGACAGCATATCCAGTATCAAAGTTCATGTTTCTTTATGGCCTGCCGAGACAAGTGGGCACTGGAAAAGGTATCATTCGATCATGCAACGTTATGGAATACCGGATATGAGTCAGCTCACTTATAATACCCATAATGAATGAGCGATATAAATACATAATTAATAACCGAGCTTAGGTAAAAGTCCAAACTATAGTATCTAATAAAACATACCCAATTTGATAATGAAAATCATTAACTTGGTTCAACTTTAGACTTGAGATATTGGGAAGTGGCAAGTTATATATTATATACATACATATACTTCATATATATAAATGATATGATATATAAAAATATAAAATGGATCATTAATTGATTTTTATCATAATATGGGTAAAAATTATATAGATTATTAATATAATTTGAAAGAAACTCTAGTCCTTGGTTTTTACACTCATCAGCTCTTCATCAACAGACAACGTAAAGTAATATCTGAACATATATTTATTAGTGATCAAGTTGAAGTTCGATGAACTTGGATTTGTAAATATCCATTAAATTAAAATCTCTCATCCATCATGCTCATCTGCATTCAAATGCGCATTCAAAACTTTAACATGTATTCAAATGCATTGCAAGGTCTTTTCCCATACTGTGTATTTCCAAAAATTGTATGGGTATTACGAGTTACCCCCAGCATGATTAATGTGCATTGATTTTTGTCAAAGTCAAGTGTTGGCGCCAATGGGCACTTGAAACACCCTACACTCCCCTAAGCTGCCCGCAACGCCCACACTCTGTATGCATTTCACCGGGGTTAGATTAGCTGGCTCGTCGTGGGATCTACAGTCGATCACCCTAGCGGCCTACCTCGCCCCATTGCATATCCCTCTCAAAATCGAGTCCCCTGTCGTGGTTGCCGTCATCACATAACACGCACTTTTCTCGGGTAGCCCTTATCACACACTGAATGACAAATATTTGAAATTGAGGTGAGCGTCAGACAGGCAAATGGAGCAACTACAGCCATATGACATGTCGAGTTAACACTGTGACCAAGAGATACCCTATAAATACATATATACTTGTACTTGTGTTCAGCTTGCGATTATAGTCAAATGAAGTTATTGCTCTTACGATATCGAATTTTACTTTAAGTTCATATTTAAAGTTTCTAAATAGAGTTCCGTCCCCTTTCGATAACAAAATTAATGAAAACTATTTTTGCACTCACCATTAATATTATTATATTAAGACTTCAGCTAAGCTTGTGATCTAGTTCAGAAATTGTTCAACTTGAAGTGGACATTTAATGTTAAGAATCATTGATTGTGTTTCATAATGCTAGTGGATTAGTTGTGCATTAGGTCTGTATATGTACTATATTTGTATATAACATATTATATCCATTTTAACATTGAACTTATGCTGTAAATAGTATTTAACATAATATATGTGTATTCAATTTAAAAGAAAATTTTACTGTCGTAGAATCATAACAACATTTCCTAGATATTTATTCATTTACATATAAAATTAAAATCTTATCAAACAAAAGATATTTATTTATAACACTTCAATTCAGGTATTCTACGATATATTCTTAGCATCCAAATATTTTGAATGACAGGGACAAGAGATCTAGATAGTTTCATTCCTTCAAATGCTTGATATATGTAAATATATTTGGGATATTTTGTATAATATACTCACGGAATTTCGATGTTTTTCGACCTTACCACGAGGATTGCCGAGGTTTGATCAAGTGTCTTATAGAATAAATAGCTTTTGCCTTCTGTCAATTTATTTTAGTTATATAAATTCTTGTTATTGATATGACAGTTCTTAGCTGGAGCACAGGGCATATTCCATTCGATTCGATTTTACTTTCCAATCTTTGGACAATATTTGGGAGCTTATCTAAACGAAAAATGCTATTAGAGGCGATTAATAGGCGCTGTCCATCATCTTCTGGCGACGATTGCTATTCGATTCACATCGAGATAAGCACGTCCGTTGTCGTCTCTACGTGTTGCTAGATTTCGGTTATATATGTATGTCTATATATTATATATATTTTAAAGCTTTTTTTTTTTTTTTGCCTCTTGATCTAATATACGAACGATTAGCAGCAAATTGTTCTCAAGTGCAAGAAATCAAAATAGAAAAAAAAAGCCAGTGAAATCTGAGCAGTGGAAGTTCTAGACGGTTAGAGTGGGGGCTCTACGTTCTCGGGCTTATCGCGCAATACGCCACTTAATAAAAATAAACGTTAATGATTGTATTTGTACAATTTAAATTATGACATTAAATCGCAACCGTCATTAGCTTTATAGGGTATATATACCCACAGATATATATACACATATACAAAATATTTGTGATGTGCTTCTATTTATAAACGTTATATAGACTGAGGTCAGACGATCTCACTATGGATAGGTATCACTCCGTTTAATTAGAAATATGAGTGCGAATTTCCGTTTGCCGTCTCTCACTCTCATACCTACATACATACATACATACATACATGGGTATGTACATAGGTAGCGCTGCAGCAGCGATAGTCACCTTATCACGCCATCCACTCGACACTCTTCCATTATGTGGGCCCATATAACAACAATCGAATTAGTTGTTGGCCTGCTGCTCCTCCGATAACAATTATGGCAATTGATTCTTCCTCAATTGCCCACAGGCCAACTGCCGGCTTGCGTGGGCGTGTCCGCTCTGCATACGAAACGAAGAGTGTGTGCGAAAGAGAGACAAATAGCCAATCGAGGTGGCCAATCAAAATCGAGCAACGATTCGCGCTGCTTTATTACAAAGTAAATATCGATAAAGGAAAGCTTACCATGGCGTTATAAATAAATTCTGTGTAGTTCAATTCCATTTATTTAAAATTGTATTTCTTTGAAATAGTAATATTCATTTGAATATTAGATATTTACATATGTAAGCACATACATATATATGTGATGTAATGCATATATATTTACTATATTATTCGATATTAAATATTATTATATTATATTATTCGATATTATTAAATATGTATTCTTATTTTTGAATATTTGTGAATGTAAATACCAAGTTTAGAGTTTTGTTATATATTTTTTATAAATTCACTTGTCTTTTCAATTTATGCTTTTACTACATATTATAAATTATATTTATATTTTTTTAGTAAGCGTTAATGAAATCTTAATAATTGAATGGAGAAAACGGCATTGATTAACTAGAGCAAAAAAAATCTGACTTTAATTCACAAGTTAAACATAAAAATATGCAATAAATCTTTATTATCAATAATCACTAATCAATTAAATTGAAAAAAGTCGGATTTAAAGTAAATTATCTTTCCTGGTGGGCCTACAAATGAGCGAGCGCATTAAACCTGGTTCACATCGAGGCTTAGGGAAGTCAGTATAGCGAGTTGCCTGAAGAAGGTAACTTCCAGTTGAACTCCGTCATTTTGTGACAATAGGTGTCTTTATAGTATATAAATTATATACTATGCTCTAAATTTTCATTTGCAACCATTTTCTAAATCTTCATTTTATATTATTTTTCCTTACTTTACTCAAATAAAAATTGCTGCTCCCCCACAGTGCCATGTTATGCTATTAACAGCATTATGTTAATAACATAACTCAAGCACCGATTCTTCTACGCAAATAGCAATGCAAGTGAGTTAATGAAAGCTCACAAATAGTTTTTTAAATAATTAAAATATATGTAAATGAAATTTAGTTTAGCTAAGATAAAAAATAAATAAATTGATTTTCTGTTAATTTTATATTTGTTAATTAATTTATTAAGGATTCAAAGTAACATAAAATTAAGTCTAGCAACTGAGCCTATACACATATATTCAATTTAATTAACTCTACTTGTTTTTGTAGGTTTCAGCAATCCAGCGACTGCTGCCGCCGCTCTCTACTGCAATGCGGCATATCCGGCGGCCAGCTTTTACATGTCGAACTTTGGCGTGAAGCGGAAGGGCGGTCAAATCCGCTTCACGTCGCAGCAGACGAAAAATCTCGAGAATCGTTTCGCCAGCTCCAAGTACTTGTCGCCCGAGGAGCGTCGGCATCTGGCGCTGCAGCTGAAGCTGACGGATCGCCAGGTGAAGACCTGGTTTCAGAATCGACGCGCCAAGTGGCGTCGGGCGAATCAAACCAAGCGACAATCGAATCATGCCACTGCCACGCCCACAGCGAATACTAATAATAGCAGCAGCAGCGCAGCCTATGCTCAGCGCGGGACGGGGCACAGCGAGGACGAGGATCGCATGTACCTCTCAGCGGATGAGGAGGACGACGAGGACGAAGAGGAGAGCATTGGGGAGGATGGTGCCCAACACGTTGCAACGTGACCAAAAATTCCATTTAAGATTTCTATTTTTATATGTAGTTTTAATAAATTTATTAGATTTTAACATAGCATTGTTGTTGTTGTTGTTGTTAGTGGAATTGATAGCTGTCCAAGCAGCTGCAGTTGGGCAGGTTGCAGCGCGGCGCCAGGTTCGACAGATGTCCCATGGTAACGGGAAAGGAGAGCGGCACGAACCACTTGGGATAGGCACAAATGGCCGCGGCTGCCGTCGACGAGGCCTTCGATGCATACTGTGAAAGAGATGAGGCAATTGACAGTTGAGAAATGCGTCTATTAGGCAACAGATGGCGCAATATATGTTCAAGGTGGAAGAATGAGAATGAGAACTAATGCCAAAAGATCGTCGAGAAAGTGAGATTCTGAGGAGCCAAAAGTTGAATAAACATAAGACAAGTGAAAAGACGAAAAATACTTTCTTCATTAGAAGGAGAGTGAGAGTGAGAGAGATAAAAAAGAGAGAGTGAGATAAAGAGAGATAGAGGGAGAAAGAGATCTTAAGCCAAGATAGGCAGACAAGAATATGTAGTCTAAAATTCTACAATTCGTGAATTGAAGATGTGAGTGAGTATCAAGATTTCTGATAGTGTACACTATAGGCGATGAACACTGTAAATACCCGAAGCTCATAATGATGAAATCAAAATGCTTCTATATATTCTGGACACTTTTGGAACTGGGATGGATAGTTTCCATAAAACTATATTTGTAATCAAAACAGTTGGAAACAGGTAAAAATAAGAAAAATAAGAAGTGAGCTTTAAGAAAAGTTTACTTTTTGTAAAGTGATTTCATTCTAGAGATCTTGAAAAAATAGTGATATAATGACATATAACTGGTGGTAGACTTTTCTGGAGATGTGTCTTTATGTAAATACATTTTTGCAATTTCCTCTAGTTAGTAATGTTTCTCCTGCAATCATCCATCCTAAACAGTTTTTTTTTTTTTTTTTTTAACCATTTTACCACTAGTTATATATACATATGTATTTTGAAAACTTGCGCGTCTGCTGTAATAGATATTTTGCTCTCACAATTATTATTATTTTCATTGTAGGTTGAACAATATAATTACACTAGAGAAAAGGCTCACAGTTTAACAAGAGAGTATTAATTAAGCAACGAAAATCAATACTTAAATAAACAATAAAACATACAATAATCCACTAGTTTTTAGATTGACTACAGGGCATAGCTCCTAACTCACCTGTTCTGCTATGACCGGGCGAAAGGCGCTGCTCCGCGGTGGCATCGCCAGCTGCAGGGATTGCAACGGCTGCGGCGGCAGCTGTGGCAGCAGCTCCACGGCCGTTTGCTCCGTCGGCGGTGGTTGGGCAGAGACGTCGGAGACGTTCTCGATGGCACGTATCAAGTCCAGGTCGCAGCGCTTGAGCACCAGCTCCAGCACGGATCGCTTGCGCTGAGGAAAGAGCTGAGCCAGCATATCGATCGCACTCTGGGAGACAAAGTCGCGACGCGTTGCGCTCAGATCCTCGGCGACGGCTAGAGATTCAGGTTGGGATTCCAGTTTCTGGCGTTCTTGTTGCTGCTGTTGTTCTTTTTCCTGTTTTTGCTCCTGCTCCTGCTCCCGCTCCGGCTCCCGCTCCTGGTGCTGCTGCTGCATTGACTGTGGCTGCTCCTTGGGCTGCGTGACGGTCAAACCGAAAATGCTGCCCGGCGGCAATGCCTCGATTTTGCGTCCCGTCTTATTTGCCACCAGACGCAGCGCAATCGCGTCCTCCACCGCCTGCTGGCGCTTGAGGGCAACCTGCGAGCAGACCGAATGCCAATTGAAATTAATATGCGACAAGTGTTGGAGGCGACTTTCCAGAATCTCTGTTTGACTTGACGTGCGGTAAACAGAGAAGCAAAACAAAGCACCAAAACCAACTGCAATTCCTTTGGGAAAGCGAAATTGGGTCGTTCCCGAATCCACAAACACCGCAGGAGAAATGATAAAGAAAATAAAACTTTAATACTTGATTATTTAGCTCTAATAGATGTGAGCCGTAACTTCACTAGAAATCTCTTCGAGCTCTTTGGCATTTCGCCAATTGAATGGTATGAAAACTCCAATTCAGACGAATCTGGGAACAAGCGGAACTATTTTTCGGCCAGTTAGTTTTCCTTTCCCTCTGTAATGCGAGCCCGCCCGCTGAACACTTGTGCAAACATTTGGTAAGCGGATATTTTAGCTCGATTTGTTCGTACGCTTTGACAAGTTTCCATCATCAGCAACAGCAGGCGAGGGCATCGGGCGTTGACCAAGTCCGAGAGAGGACCAGAAGAAGTTTAACACAAATCTGAACAGAATTTCGTATTTCATTTGTTTGCCAAGGCCTGCAGCAGGGGCAGGCAGTAGCAGGAGCAAGAGCAGGAGAAGGATACAGGCGCAATTGCCCTTGCTCTGGATTGTTTATCTTTCAAATTAGGACATTGCCTCGGTTAATCTAAAGACAATACTAATGGAATAACTATTAAGATGCGAGAAGCTTATGATACGCAATGTGTTAATTGAAATACTGAAGGATGATAGGGTTAGGGAGAGTGTAATTATTGTGTAAAGTTAGGCGTAATATAGTGAATTGTATAAAATATTGTGAAAGAATTTTGAAAAAGTTGTATTTAAAAAGATTCAAAGTCACTTATGTCGGGCGAAACGTTGAAGTGCTGCTTTTATATAACTATTTCTATTATTAAGATAGGTAAAGATAATGATACAGAAATATTACTATTGACAGGCAGCAACAAATACTTTTACAACACAAATTGTACAGTAAAGCTTTTCCCTTTTCCTCCAAATATCTGATCTCTCAATTTCTATCTGCCTCTTCCCTCTATGTCTAGTTCTCTAAATTGCTAGTTGTTCTTATTTAAATTCACTTCTTCATTTCTGTCCTCTCTTTTTCGTCTGATTTCTTTATCTTTCTGTGCCAGTTACACTCCCTCCTTTATCATTCATACTATTTCCTTTCTAGTCCCTTTCTTTTGACCCGTCTCTTCCCTCTGTCCCTAAATGCTTCCTTATTTGTTCCTAATTATTGTTTAATATATCTAGTTGTTCTTATTTAAATTCACTCTAAATTTCTTTTATTTTGCTTTCCGTCTTCATCTCTTTTTCCGCTTATTGGCTTTCTTATTCCCTCTCCTCTCAAACTATCACTGTCGCCGGCATTCTCTCTGTCATTCTTGGAGGATCTCCATCTCTCTCCCACTCCATCTATCAGATCTCACCTGTGCAGCCATAATGCGCTGTCGCTCAAAGATCAGAACGCACTTGGCACACTTGCAGCTCTTGTAGGTGCAGAGCTTTTTGTGGCCGCGCAGCTCGGAGATGATGCCGTGATTGCGACAGCGGGCGCACTTGGGCACGCGATTTGAGACTTTAGGTAGAGCCGTTTCAGCCAATTTCGTTGTCTTAGAGCTGAGGGCGAGTCGCGCGCGTTTCGCATGAATTGAATTATCGTCAGACATCTTACAACGAAGAAGGATTCAACAGATACCAATAAACTGATAATTATTGAAAGTTGCGAGCGTTATTTGTAGCGTGTCTAATGACAAGCTATAAGAAACTACATTTTGGAAACACTTGCTTTTGCGTGCAATTGTTTCAAAGGAAATTTCGAATTGCACGGTTTGTTGACTTACGCAGGCGCCTTGGCCATGTCCTGTCGTAGCAACTCTTCGACGATACGATTGGTTGTTGATGGACTTTGCTCCACCCACCAGGCGGGCCTTCAATTGGGGCGGTTCAAAATATTACATCGCATAACAACCACATAATTAACATGTTTACTAAATTCAATGGGAGCTTTCGGAGCTTTAAGATGTAGATACGTTAAATGTGTGTTGCAAAGGTTCGAAACTGGGCTCGATAGCTTATTTGCTCCACAATTAACAGTGTTGCTCCACAGCTAACAGTGGCACCAATTATAAATACTTTTATTAAATAAGAATAGCATAGATAAGAGCTACCAAGAAAAGCAAACATAATATTACAAAATATGTCAACTTTTAAATATCTGACTTATTGTAAATAGTACAATCACTAGCCATATGTGTGTTAGTGGAACAGTTTTATTGTTAATATCAATACATCGATAAGAACTATTGCCAACTGTTATCGGTAACGAAAAGCTATCGATATTTTTGTATTACTTCAATGATGCATCGCTAATTTTAGTCAGTCGGAAATCATCTTCGAACGTTGAAAAATGGATCGGTAGCTAAAAGAGATAATTTAAAGCGAAAAACGCAAAGAAAACGGCTTTTGTCCGCTATTTCAGCGATTTTTTTTGTGTTGTAATCAGCAGAAAATTTTTAACAACAGCTACAACGACCAAACACCACCAGTCAGTCCCAGGCAATAACCAACAGCAAATTTTGCAATATTCAATCAAATTTTACTGCAACCACAATAAAATCAACCATATTCAAGCCCCCACAAATACATATATACCAATACATCTACCACAAAGGTAAAAAGCAAAGAGGATCGAATCATTTAATATTGAGACAAATAGAAGGAATATTCAATTTTGTGCTTGCTTTTGCTAATGTGATGAGAAAATCCAGCAACAATACCAACAACAATAGCCACCATTACCAACAACCGACCGACAATAGTGCAGCGCAGCCGACGTCAGCAGAACAGCAGCTGCCGAACAGTGGCTGAAAAATTGTTTTGCCAAAGTAAATTTTCCTGCGACAATTTTTCTTCTATTTTGATGCTGCTGCGCAATTCGCAACGACGCCAACTGCAACTACATCAAGTGCAGAAATTGTAGTAGCAAAAAATTCAAATAACAATTAATTTCTTGGCAGAGCAGCCGCAGCCATAGCGCAACAGAAAAATCTTTTCAATAGCCACCATTTTGAATGAGCGCAGCAACAACAGCTAACGCCGCAGCAGCAGCAGCAGCAGAGAGAGCGAGAGCACAACGCAGCCGTTGCAGAAGTAGCTGCAGCGACGTTGACGTCAACGCTGTGTCTTATTAGCACCCTGTAAGAGCGAAAAGGAAAAGAAGGCAAGCTTGCAGCTGTTAGACCGGAATAGTTCTCAAAAACACGGTGCGTGCATTTGCTAGTGTGATAGGAGTAAAGAGAGACTGTGTGAGTGCCAAAAAGGGAAACCAAGGGATTCAAAGTCGAAAGACAGCGCCAAAATTATGGTTTTACGTATTTTGGAAGAGGAAAATGCCAGCACAGCTGCTGCAATGGAGTTCGCGTCGCTGCGACGCAACGCCGGCAGCGGCAGCAGCGCCAACAACAACAACGCAAGCGGCTCTGCGGACAGCGGCGTAGGCGTAGGCAGCAATGTCTCTTGCAGCAACACGGACAACAGCTGCAGCCAAAGTCAATCAGGTGAGTGTTGAATTTCAAGTTTTTTTTCTTGCTATATTTTGAGCTCCTTTTCTACAACTCTTTCGCTCTTACGCTCTTTGGCTTTCCCTTGTCAATATTTGAAGCGCAAAATACGGCTGTGCAGCCACTGTGCGAGCTGTGTGCATTGAAACTTTATTTTGCAGCTGCCACGCACTACACTAACGTGTGCGAGCGAGATAGAGGCATTAGTGTAGAACGCAGCGCCCTTCATCCCTACATCTTACGCGCTAGCTGCCCTTGTGCATATGTGTATGTGTGCGTCTGTGCATGGGCTGTTTTATTTTTCGGTTTCGTCTTGTCTTCTTCGGTGAATGGTTTTTACGCCGCTGTTCGTGTAATGTCTGCCACTTGGTGCTTCTTATTGTTTAGTTTCGAAATCGTTCTGGAACACATTGCACTTGCCTCTGTGTGCGTGTGCATGTGTTTCCCGATTTCCATTACGCATTCGTTTTGCGTACAAAGTATTTATAAAGCTGAGACAGCCCCTGGCAACAAACCATTGAATGGTTCCTATGTACGTTCCTATTCCTAACATTTCCTAGAATTTATCTGACTGTCTGCGGACATCCCTTGAGGTCTTCAGCTTTAAAAATATATAGAGAATGTAGGGTAGATTTGGGTATACGCATTTCGACTTTAGCTTGATTGGTCGTCGATCGCTGTATGTTCCACTAATTCTTAGGTATTTACAGTGGGCTGCAGTAACTTAAAGCGCGCTCGAATTTGGGAAACACTCTACAAATAATATCGCATAAATCTTCATCACATATAGGCTAATGAGTTATTTTTAATGCTCTACAACTTAATATTATACGTATATTCGTTTTTACAATTAATTTAATTTGCTTGATTTTTGTTGGCAATGTGTTATATGTATGTTTATATTCGTTTAAGCAACAGTTTTCGCACCCATACGTCGTATTAGTAGATCACCTGAGATCTAGCTTTTCCCTATTATATTAACTACATAACGTGTACATATAAAGAAATTAATTTATTTCAATGCAGCATAGCAAACACGTATAAGTTTTCTAGATTGCGTTTTACAAACTCCTGTGACGTCGATAGCTAAGATTGCATCACATTTAATTAAATGAAAAACAAATAAATGTGTTGAAGTGTGTAATATCAGATATACATATATGCAATACTGAGGAGAATAGGAAATATGATTGATATTAAGTTTTATTTTTACATAGGGCATTGTTCAATAGGATTGTCGCAGTTCCATATACATACATATATTGTTCTTATTCTCTTTAGTCATATATTTTGTACTATTCTTTTAAAATTGATCGTTTGGTGCATGTCTTCCCACTCACTTCAAGTAATCCTCGCCCCGAAGCAATAAATACCTCTTTGTCTAACTCTAGTGGATAGCCGAGTATTCAAGAATTAATAAACAATATGGTTATCTGTGCAAGAAAGAGAAATGAAAGAGTGGAAGCGATAAGATATAGAAGGTATGGAGCAACAAACAGCTGGAAGGAAATGAGCAACACATATGAAAACAGCTCAGACAGCTGCCCCGTTGAAGAAGAGACGTAAATGAAATCGAGGAGAAAACTTTCCCAGAGTTTTATCTACCAGGTCTCTGGCCAAATATCGAAAAGGGTTGGGGCGGGAGCAGAGCCGGAGCTGCTGTCGACTGAGTCAACGTCGTGTGGGCAGAAGCGTGAAATGAATTATTGTTGTTGTTATTGCTGCTGTTGCTTTTGAGCTAGCTACGCGCTGAGGCTTATTTCCGGAATTGACAAATTAACGAAATTTATTTGCATTTTTATTAAGTACATACATACATACATACATATACAAACGTTGGTATAAAAAGAAAACAGAGCTGAATGAGTGCAAGCGAGATGGCGAGATATGCTCAGCTATCTTAACTGAGTGTGCAGTCAATTTATACAAAGTGATTCACGTTGCGAGCTTTTTTCGTTACTCGAAGAGCTTAACAAATGAAAACGGATCACGAAGTGTTAATAAACTTTAAGGCGAAACTAGCGACTGCGGCAAACAGCGACTGCGACTGCGACTGCAGTAGCAGCGCAGCGACTGCACATAACCTTGATGACGTTTATTGCACTTTGGTGCTGCAACCAGCGGCAGAAACTGCAGCAACAGCACTGGCAGTGGCAGCGGCAACGGCAGCAAGAGCAGAAACCCAAAATAGAACGGCAGTCAAAGCAAACGAGCAAACAAAAATGAACGAACGTTGCGAACAAAGACAAAACGATGAGCGCAGCGGTCGCCCGCTCTCTGCCCGCAAGCACTGTTGCGCTGCCACGCTCCAACGCTGACCGAGTTCGAGCCATACGTCTGCTGACGTGTAGCGACGTTGCGACGCGTCGCTGCTACTAGTGCAACAGCAGCGGTGGCAGAGACTGACGATGACAAACCTAAAACAAAAACAAAAAACCTTTTAAAAAAAATAAATATTGAGCGAACAAAAAATGCAATAAAAATCGCTTTTATCAGCGCCTTTACTGAGCTGTATGCATATCAATTGAAATGAAGGCTATGTCTATGTGTGAATTTGTGGGCGGGGAGGGCTGGATTTATTCAGCAATTTGCAACTGCATATTGGATGCAAAAACGGGATTTGGGTAGAGGGCGTTGTCTATCGTTATATCGATAACTTATTTTGCATTGAAAGTATATTGTTGCTGTAAATATGTATGCATATATAAATGTATGTACATACATATGTGTAAGTAGGCAACTCTTTGTGGGTGGTTGTTTGGCCAATTGCCACCGTGCGTTGGTCTATGGCATGATTAATGAGTGACAGGCGAGAAGTATTTAGAATCACTATTGTTTTTCTCCACCATACCACAGGGACTACCTTGTGCTTTATTGTAATAATACGTGTACGTGTGCGTGTGCGTGTGCGTACGTGCAGCCTCACACGCATTTCTCCCTTACACAAGCATAAACACAGACACAGGCACACACACATTAATGCTAACAATATTCGTATATTATATGCATGTAAATGTAGACACTGCAATGTTTTCCTTGCATATGGCAACGCTGTAGCTGTCATACAACGTATAAAAAAAGGTAAAGAAATTCCATACACCAAGATACATATATATATATGTACATATGTACATTTGTATTAATGCAAGTTTTGAGAAAACAAAGCACTATTTAAAGTAGTTTCAGTAGTTTTAGCTTTGCTTTTTTTGCCCTTCCACTCATTTGTTTTTGAACGCAATTTGCACATCAGGCGATGATATTGCTGTGCTTGTGTCAGTTGTGTGTGTTTGAGTTGGTGTAGATGTTTGCGTTAACCTCGTTTTTCACGCTGCCCTCAACAAAAGCACGTCAGCAGCCTACGTGATGTTGTGCTTGTATGTGTTTCACTGACTAAAATTCAGGTATAAGATTGTGAGCGAGTGAGAGAGGGAGACTGAGAGAGCAAATGAATGGCAGCGCTGTTTGTGTTTGTTCGATTTTGTCTTCTGGTCGCTCATTCGCTGTTGGCGTTGTATGCTTTTTGCGTGGTCATACCGGTCTTTTTATATGCGCTCAATGTCTGCGTTCTCTCTCTCTCTCTCTCTCTCTCTTTCTTACACTATCTGCTAGGTATTCCCGCCTGCTCTCCATGAACCCCGCATGCCCTGTGTTGGGGCCACCACTTGTCGCTTTTGTTGTTATTTTGCTGTTTGTGTTTTGAGCTGCAGCGAGCGACAAAACGGCTGTCGCCTTTCGGCTCAGCTGGTCTTCGGTCTGCGCGTCTACGTTATGGGCTTCGTTAAGCTCTCTCACTCATATACATATGTATTTACTTCGCCAGCTCAAAATAAAAACAAAATAACGCGCTTTGTAGTGCTCTGCTGTTCGATTATGTCAGTCTCCATTGTTTCGCCTGCTTTCGTCAACTGTTCACTCTCTTTCGTACTCTCTGTCTTTCTTTCACTCTCTTTCACGCACTCTTCTTGAATTCTGCTCATATGTTTGTAATGAAGATTTCATTATATTTAATAGAACGCAATTTAAATTCGTTAAACATTGAACACGATCTGCTTTCATCTTCCGCTTCCCACTTCGCACACGCCCAAGCCATGTTGCCAAATTTCACACGTCATTCTGTTTTGCTCTTTTGCGCTGTGCAGATTTTTTTTATTTAAGGTTCATATGTACGTACATACATGCATACATATACGCCGGCATCGATTCTTCTAATTGAATCAAATTGAAAAACTTTCCATAGTCAAGTACTCAATTGTTTTTATTACCTCCAAGAACAGCGGGGGTCAAAGTTTATTAGCTAGCTCTCCACGCTTATTTAAGACCACAAAATGTTCACCTATTTTGATTTGATTAATTCTAAACCGGCTTCTAGATGCTTCCGTCTGAACATTTTGCCCATGCTTGAAAGTTAAAGTTTATTGTGTAAACAAAATCAGCGAAAGCTCGCATACAAACATAAATTGATACATGTATGTACATATGTACGTATGTATGTGTGTGTATGTATGTATGTATGTATATGGTCATACAATATATTTACTGACATAATGTTCATATGAAACGAATTGCTCAAAATGTACATACATACGTACTAACATACATACATACACATGTATTTCATATTATCTCTTAACCGCACCAAGTGTTGAAAAGTCACGTAAGCAGAAAAAATATGCACAAACATTTGCTACGTCAGCGTGCGTTAACTCGCTCTTTGGCACGTGCAAAGAGCACTCTGCGCAGCATAAAAATTTCAAAGCTCTGCACGCGGCTGCCCTACCCTCTAACATGTTACAAGACAGAAGCAGACAGCAGGCAGCTGGCAGCTGGCAGCTGGCAATACTCTTATTAGAAATGCGATTGGTCTCACTCACACTTTGCCGCTGTGTTGTGCTTTTTCGCTCTCTTTCTTTTCTGCTTTGCTCTACTCTCACACAGACGTCTCTCTCTCACTGTGTTAGTATTTTGGCTGCTGCCGCCTGGGCCTGAACACTGGTCGT